CCTGAGTGCTGAGATTTGAGGCATAAGCCATCACATGCTGCTACCTGTTGTGCTACCAAAGGCAATGACACCAACCAATCACAGACCAGAACCTCCCAAACTGTAGGCCCAAACAGACCTTTCTCATTATAAAGAAATAAACCTTTTCTCATAGGTTATCTCGTGTATTTTGTTAGAGTTACAGAAAACTCACATATCTTGCAGTTATTATAAGAGTTAGGTCCTTTGGCTGCTCTTCCAAAGGACCCAGGTTCAACTCCCAGCACCCACATGGCAGCTAACAACCATCTGTAACTCAACTCTAGTTCCAGGGGAATCTGACATCCTTTGCTCTGCGGACATTACATGAACATGGTGCACTTACATATATGTAAGTGAAACATACATACAAATAAAATAAAAAATTTAAAAAGTGTAAGAACATGATAAACTGGGTATAGTGGTGCATGTCTGTAATCCCAATGCTTGGGAGGTAGAGGCAGGAGGACTGAGAATTCAAGTCATCCTTAGCTATATAGTAAGTTTGAAGCCAGCCTTGGCTGCATGAGACTATGTCTCGACAAACAAACAAACAAACAAACAAACAAACAAACAAACAAACAAAACAATTAAAGCAGAAACATCAAATTATGGTCAGAGAACCAAACCTGGCCCTCCAGGATTACAGAATAGAGGAACTCATATAAAGTATCTAGTAGGGTTTCTGGTGTTTAGCAGGTCTTCAATGAATGTATTTAAATAAAGCTGTTGATATCCAAGTTTATTTAATAAAAATAATTCTACTGTTTTCAAGAATGTAATCAGAATATCTGATTACATTTCCTTTCCATAAATTGAAACTATCCTGCATTACAACCTACAGGTAAGTCTACTTCTTTGCAGTGTATCACACGTATAAATATATGAAGTGATAAAGTACACCTGTGCGTGTTTTACGAGGGAAGCGCCAACATTAATAGGAAACAATTTATTTCAGACTCAGCCATTTAGAGACTGGTTCAGTTTTCTTCATTGAAAAATCTGGCTCTGTGCACCTTGGTGTGAACTTCAGTTTTGCTGCTTATGGTCAGGTTACTTACATCTCTCTAAGCCTCAGATTACTCATCCTCTCCCTCAAGGTTGAGGTTTAAGAAAAAGACATTGTATTTAGTGTCCAAAATTATGAACGGGTGTTCAGTTAGGACATCTGTTCTTTCTGCTACTTAGAAGTACTAAGTTTTTATATTAAAACCAATTTCATCTTCAGGACATGTGATACTGTCAAGTTAGTCTCGGGCAGGCCCAAACCCTAGGCCTTCAAAGTCAGATTTCTGTCTCTCTGATTAAGCTGGACTACCTGCCAGTCACACTTCTAAAAAGTTCTGTAATGATATTTAGAAACTGTATGAATACAGTTTTTCCAGAAGAGGGCACTCTTGCCTGGTTCACCCTTGTCCTGGGGTAAGGTTTTAAAAAAAACTCATAGGGGCTGGAGAGATGGCTCAACAGTTAAGAACACTGGGTATTCTTGCAGAAGACCTGGGTTCGAATCCCAGCACCCACATGGCAGCTAACAACTGTCCCTATCTCCAGTCCCAGGGGATCCAACAGCCTCTTCTGACCTCTGCGGGCATTGCACGGCGCGGGTGCACTTACCTACATGCAGGCAATATACGAATACACACAAAACAAACAAAAAAAACCTCATAGCTTTGTGATAGGGCATCTTCTTGACCATAGCTATGCCGTGTTAAGTTTAGACTGACTCTAGCCTATGAAATTACCAGGCCATTGGCCCAGGGTATGGGAACACACATCAGCAGAACCCCAACTGTCTTGGGAACAAGTCAGTGTGTTCCACATATGAAATTATCAGGCAGTTGGTCCAGGGTATGGGAACACACATTAGCAGGACCCCAATTGTCTTGGGAACAAGTCAGTGTGTTCTGCAGTGTACCTTCTAACTGCAGATTTATGGCTTCTGTGGGTTATACTTGGCTTGCTTCTGAAAAATAGTAATTGTTGCTTAACAATAGAAATTATTAAGGGGGCTTTGCACCTATAAGCTTTGGAACTTAAACGTTTCACCCCTGGTTATGGTTTCTCTGTAAAAGCTTATCCTAGAGATGGCTCGGGGCTGTACTTTGGTTCCAACACCAGTGTGTAGTCACTGGCCAGCTAGTAAAAGACTTTCATTCAGCAAAACTTTGAGTAGTCTTCTCGGTGATGCATCTCACAACAGCTTAAAAATAGTGTCTGATTTTACTACTGAAAGACAGCCTGGATTTAAAAAAAAAGCAAACAAAAAACTGATGCCAATATTTTATTTTAGCATCAAAATCCTGAAATAATAGAGGAAATTGGCAGACTTTATTTTTGGCAGACCCTCTCTTCAGCTCTACTCAAAACTGACCTGTTTTTTTTTTTTTTCCCCCAAGGTCAAATTGGGTTTTCTAGTTAGTACAGATGAAATTAGAACTGACTCTCTGAACCACATACTCCTATTTTATTTGTTCCTGGGTTGTTTTTGTTTCTGAACAGAGGTCCTGTTCTGTTGCCTAGGCTGGTGTGCTACCGAGAGGTTTAGGCGAGGCTCCTGACTCAGTCTCCGGACAGTTGGGACGACAAGTGCATGCTTGGCCTTGCTCTTACTTTTGTTCTCTAACAAAATTGTGTTCTAACACACACACACACACACATACACACACACACACACACACATACACACACACTCACTCACACACAAACATGCATACATTTTGGTGAGATCTGCTAAAATTAAAAAGTTTCTGCTGGTAGGAATGTAAACTAGCTCAGCCGTGGTAGAAATCAGTCTGATGGCTCCTCAAAAAACTAAAAATAGATCTAGCATAAAACCCAGCTGTACTGCTCCTGTGTATTCACCTGAGGGACTCCAAGGCAATATCTCAGATCCTTGCACATCAATGTTTACTGCAGCACCATTCACAATAGCTAAGTTATGGAGCTGAATGAGGTGTCTAATAACAGAGGAATAAAGAAAATGTGGTATAGACACGATGCATCTTTTTCAGCCATAAAGAAGATGAAGTCAGGTCATTTACTGGAAAATAAATGGAAGTGGAGATAAATAATCATATTAAGTGAATTAAATCAATCTCAGATAGACAAATAGCATGCTTTCTCTCATTTGTGGTTCCTAGAATCTATACAGATATATAAAATCACTTATGTACTTATGAAACTTATGTACATGAAAGGAGAAGTGAGGGGCTGGAGAATGGCTTGGTCAGTAAAGTGCTTGCTGTACAAGCACAAGGATGTGAGTTTGATTCCCAGCATCCAGTAAAATTCAAAAAGCCAGGTTTGACAGCATATGCCTGTAACACTGTGCTGGGGATGAAGAGATGGGAAGGTTTCCTGGCCAGTCATTCTAGGCAATCATTGAGCTCCAGTTTCAATGAGAGAACTTGTATCAAAAAGTAAAGTGAAGACATCTAACTTGGGTCTCTGGCCTCCACAGGTATGCATATCCATGTGCACACACATCTGTAAACATACATGAACACACACACACACACACACACACACACACACACACACACAAAGAAATTAGAAGTGAAACTGTTCAGGGGATAAAGGGACTAATGGAAGGGGAATGAGTGAATGGGGATTATGAGGGGGATATGCTCAAAGTACATCATATGCATACAGTGTCCTGCTCTAATACAGCACCATGTACAATAAATATGCACTTATGAAAAACAAGAGAAAATGTATTTTTGTATTACAGATGGGTTAGGAGGGTTCATGGTTCAATTTATGTTTTTTTTTTTTTTATTGTTTGTTTGTTTTGGTCTTTTTGAGCTGGCCTGGAACTCACTATGTAGACCAGGCTGGCCTTGAACTCACAGAGATCCACTTGCCTCTGCCTCCCCATGCTGGGATTAAAGGCATGCACCACCACACCTGTCCAATTTGTGATTTTTTTTTTTAACTTTACAATGGCTAGGCATTCAGTATGTACTGTATTTCAAATTTTTAATTTTTTAATTGAATGTTTGCAAGTTTCTTACAATATATTTTGATCATATTAAGAGCCTCTCCCTTATCTGCAGCCATCTCATAGCCCTACCCCCAATTCTTACCAGATATCATGTACTCTGTCATATATATTAAGGCTAATCAAGAAATCTGTGTCCCCTAGTGTCCTTCGGTGTGCATCTATCCACTGGAACCGGTTAACCTCTCTAATATATACCCTTAAAGAAAAACAACTCTCCTCCTCCCAGGGCTACACAGGGAGATCCTGTCTCATAGGTTTGAACTTTTATTTATTATATATAAATCTACCTAGAAAGATTTTTGTTAAATGTTAAGAGAGGATTCTATTAGATTAAGGAAAATCTGGAAAGAAACTTTTTGATAGTATTTTCTGTAATGTTTGAATTTAAAGAATGTGCATTATGATTATAAAGACATCCAGGCTAATGCCAAAGAGAATAATAATTAAAAATTACTCTCAGAGCTGATCCTTTGTCATTCCATTTTTTTTTAACCAAGAAAAGATTTGGACTAGAACACATTGTGGAAGATAATCTCTACATTATTCAAGGAAATAATTTTTTACACTGTAGCACCAGAATCACCCAGGAGGCTTTTGAAAAGGGATCCAGGTGCCTGCCTCATCATGACCCCATGTACGTCCTCTGTGGAGTGGGGCACCCTGTATGTGTCCCATGCACTCCAGGTGACATGATACAGATGTGAGTCTGAAATCACTTCTCAGGGTTGAAGAAACAAAGGAAGGATCATGAGTCCACCTGCGTCTTTGTATTTCTGGTCATTCTGTCCCTCCTGTCTTTGTTTTCCCTCCACCTGTTTTCCCTCCACCTGTTTTCCTGCAGTCTACAGAAATTGAAAGTAAGGGGAACTGGGAGCATTGAGTAACAGGTGTTTTGGGGATCAAACTATTTAGGAAAACCCAGAGGATGTTCATAGCAAACACCAGTACTTCTGTCTTAATCTTGGTCTCAACTTACTTGGTACTTGGGTTTTTGATGAAGCCAGTGTTTACAAAGTTAGGGCAGAGGCATGATGTTTTGATTCCTGTTCTTCCTAAGGCAGCCAGTTCATCAGTCAAAGCTCTGTGAAATCCAACAGCGGCAAACTTGCTGGAACTGAAAGAAAAGAGCTTGTAAACGAAATTCAAGAATACTGTGATCCTATAGTTAGGTGTGCTCTGAATGGCAGCCAAGGGACCACCTGCAGGACAGGCCCAGTGCAGACCTATTAGACCAGAAGCTGTTTTGTAAGCTACCCAGGGAAATTCTTAGACACACTAAAGCCTCAGGCACAATGACATAGACCACTTCCTACATCAAAGCATCCCTAACCAGTCAGATTCCAGTGTGTTAAGTGAACCAACAGCAACATCGAAGGAGGGTTTTTGTTGTTTCCAAACAATCCAATGCCACTGTAAGCTGTTATAAAATGGTCTTGGGATTCATTAGAAAATTCTTCTGTATAAACCCTATTCTTCCTTTGAGTATCAACTTAACTTCCTCAAAGAGTCCTTTCCTGACTCCTATTTTTTTTCTTATTATTATATGGTAATCTTCAGTTTTCTGTGATAGAATGCATCACAGATTTTTAAGTAAACACTGACTTGGTGGGGCTGGAGAAGTGGCTTAGTGGTTAAGAGCACTGGCAGAGGACACAGGTTTGGTTCCCAGCACCCACATGGCAGCTAACAACAATCCTTAACTCCAGTTCCAGGAGATCTGATGACCTCTTCTAGCCTCCATGGACATTGCATGCACAGGTATACTTATCTACATGCAAGCAAAACAGTAATCCACATAAAATGAAAGTAAATAAAATTTAAAAGCACTGATTTGGAGCTGGGCGTGAAGGCGCATACCTTTAATCCCAGTACTTGGGAGGCAGAGGCAGGTAGATCTCTGTGAGTTTAAGGCCAGCCTGGTCTACATAGTGAGTTCCAAGCCAGCTGGGTTGATTTTTTAAAAAATTATCTGTCCCTTACACTTTCTTGTGTATGTATGTGTATGTACGTGTTTGTGTGTGTGTGTGTGTGTGTATGCGCACATGTGTGAAGGCCAGAGGTTAACACTAATGCATACTACCTCATTTTTTGAGACAGGATCTCTCATTGAACCTGAAGCTTGACAATTGGCTACAATGACTCCCAGCATCCCCAGGTGTCCTTTTGTCTCTGCTTCTACAGTGCTGGGATTATAGGCATGTGCTGCTGGGCCTGGCTTTTTATGAGGATACTAGAGGCCTGAACTCAAGTTTTCATACTTGTGTGGCAAGCACTTCACTAACTGAGCCATCTCCCAAGCTCCCAAGTTCCTACACTTTTACTATAAGCTCCATGACTGTACAGTCATAAATTACTCTCTAGGGCCTCATGCAGGGCTTGACACTTAATAGGCACTCAGTAAATATTTACCAAATAAATAAATCACAGTATAAGGCGATTCTTACAAAAACACCTTCATTTGGAAATAATAATGAAATTATTCTAAATGGACATTATTTTTCCAGGTATTTTTTTTAAAACAGCTTTATGAAATGTAAATTCATATAGCACCAAATTTACTGGTTTAAGGTTTATAATTCAATGATTTTGGGTATTTTAGTTTAAAGAACTGTCATAAAATATATCTAATGGGGTGGAGAGTTGGCTCAACAGTTGAGTCTTACTGCTCTTGCAGAGGACCCAAGTTTGATTCCTAGCACCCACATTATGGCTCACAACTTCCTATAATTCCAGTTCTAGGAGATCTGAACCTCTCATCTGGCCTTTACCGACTCTTGCATGCCATGGTACATATAAACTCTCACAGCTTCACATACATATACATAAATCTAAAGTAATCGTTTTAAAAACACATATAAAATTTGTCATCTTGAGTATGTAGTTCAGTGACATTAATTACCAGATAATTCTTATACTTTTAAATCTCTATGAATTAGTAGTTACATAAAGTATCTATATATATTTTCAATTAACTTGTATTTTGAAAAATAGAAAACTGTGAAAAGTTTTCTCTTAGTTTTTTTTTCTTATTTAAGCTTAGATATATGGGGCTGGAGAGATGGTTCAGCAGTTAAGAACACTGGCTGTTCTTGCAGAGGACCTGGGTTTGATTCCTAATACATACAAGACAGCTAACAACAATCTGTAACTCCAGTGCCAGGGGATCTAATGGCCTCTTCTGGTCTCCTCTGGCAATGCAATGTGATAGAATGTGTGAACCGCAGGAGAGCCATAAGCCTCATTAGGGAAGCAATAAAACTATAAAGCCCTTAAAATGGTCAACTGACCCTAAATTGGCAGGCTAGCTTTGCTCAAGCCTTATTAACTGGTTGCTCCGAGGACTGTAGGAGACTGTTTTGTGGAGCCAGCTTGTCTCCTTTAGTGCCCTAGATTACTTGCCTGCCCTGCCTGAGGAAATAATCCTGGAGGAGGATCATGAATCACCCAAGGACACCCAACCCTGGCACGAGTAAATTCCTGCAGCTGTGCTTTGTAAAATTCATATATAAGCCCAAACTTCCCTCTCCTAAGTTGCAGATGCCTGATTCCCTCGGAAATGTATCTGTCTTTCACTGTGATGCCCGAACAAAGGATACATCCCTTGTCTGTTACAGGTCTGGCTCTGGTTCTTATTTCTAAATTTTAAACTTTATCCTTTTCTCCTCTATCTAACACATGCATGTGCCCTACTTGGATACATGCAAGCAAAACACACATAAAATAAAAATACATAAAAAAGGGGTTTTTTTTTGAAAAACATTGAAGCCTTAAAAAATACTATTAATTTCAATTATAAGGTGGAACGTTTCTGTACACTGAAAAACATCACAAGGGAAATGATGCCCCAAATTAATTACTATATGCCAGGCATTGTTTCCACTTATTCTGATGCTTTAGTTTATTTAAACTTCACAACCCTATGGAGTACTATCAGGAGCTCAATTTACCAAAGCAGAAATCAAGGTTCAAGACACAAAATGAAGTGGTAGAACCAAACTTTAAATGTGAACAATAAATCAGATCTGTATGCTAAACAATCTAAAGTTGATTTGACTCTCACCCAAACTCTGATGAAAGTGACAAACTGCCAAATATCTGCAACATATAATTAAGAAGAGAGGTCAGAATACAGGACTGAGTGTGGTGGCATACTCCTTTAATTTCGGTACTTGGGAAGCAGAGGTGGATGGATCGCTGTGAGTCCAAGGCAGCCAGGGCTACACAATGAGATTCTTTCTCCAAAAAAAAAAAAAAAAAGGTAAAAATATAGCAATTTGGGCTAAGGGTACACCTCAGTGCAGAAGCCTTCCTTAGCATGTGTGAGGTCTTAGGTTTGATCCTCAGCACTTCAAAAACAAAACAAAATTAACTGAAAAAAATGCAACTCTTTAAAATGAATGACACAATTCTACCAACAGACAAAAGCTAAAGGACACTCACAGAAAATTCACAAAATAAAAATACCAGCAGATCTGGACACACAGACATGTTTATAGCAGGCCTAACTCACAGAGCATAACTGTATTCTCGGGATGGGAACATTTTTATTTGCTTAACTTATTTTTCAACATACAGAAGGTTTTTGTTTTATATAATTGAGTCTGGCAACCTTTTAAACCTTGGATCTAGGCTTTTTAAAAAAGTGAGACAAAAGCTTCTATTTTCTAAAGCACACATTTTTCTGGCAGGCAATTTGACAAAGGGCATCAAATTTAAAGTTGTGTCAAATTAACTGTGCCATGTTCTTAGATCCAGCATAATGTCCAGGTATTTATACCGAGGAAAACAATTACGTTTCCAAAGATTTATATTTGGGGTAAAGCTCATGAAAGTAAGTAGATGGAAACAATTTAATATGTGGGTGACATTCAGAACCCCTTGCTCTGGTCACATCACTGTTACCAAGTAACCAAATCCATACAACGATTGGATCCAAGTTAGTCTAGGTGTTGAAGTCCAGAACTAGTTTTTTTGAATGCTCCCTCACCCCATTCCCGGAACTTAAAATTTAAAGGATTCAATGGAACTGCTGGTAGCTATTTTGCCACTAGGGGGAGAGATCCTGCTAGAACCCTGGCTCTGGGGTCTTCCTGGTCTGGAGCAAATTAAGGTTTCTATTCTTTTTAACTGAAAAAATCCTGACAAAGTCTTAAGGATAATTGACAATGGAACAGTGACACTCACAGTATCACACCATGCAGAAACTGCTGATGCTGACATACTATTAATATACAGAACCTAATCATTTTAAAATAAAATGCAAGATTGTAATAAATGCAGTTTTGGGGGGAGTAATATTTTATTTATTACTTTTTATTTTACGTGTATGAGTGCATTGCCTACATGTGTGTAAGTACACTCATGTTGTGGAATGCCCGTGGAAGTCAGAAAAGGACATCAAATCCCCCCGGTACTGGAGTAAGGGGCAGTTGTTAACTACTACTTGTGTGCTGGAAATTGAACCCAGGTCTTCTGCAAGAGTAGACAGTACTCGTAACCTCTGAGCCATCTCTCCAGCCCCTTTTGTTTTTTTATTTGTTTGTTGTTGTTGTTGTTGTTATTTGGTTTGAGACAGAATCTCACTATGTAGCTCTTGTTGGTCTTGAACTTGCTATTTATCCAGGCTGGTCTTGAACTTGTAATCTTCCTGCCTCAGTGCCACTGGGAAGAGCAAACTGTACAATTTCTTTTTACCTTCCTCTATTTTTCTTTCTCCATTTTCTCTCTCTTTCTTCCTCTCTTTCTTTTTTTGTCATGCTGGAGAATCAAACCCAGGTCCTCACACATATTAGGCAAGTGCTTTACCACCGAGCTAATCTTTGTTTTTTTGCGACAGGGTCTTGCTCTGTACCCTCTGCTGGCCTTGAACTCATAGAACATATGATTCTTTTGCCTCTACCTCCCAAGTACTGAGATTGCAGGTGTGTACTACCACACCTATGTCTAAACAAAGGTTTTCTTAAGTGCATGACTACTAATCTGTTTTTCAAGTGTTCAAAGAGGTGTATACTGCACGGTTATTCATGCGTGGTGAGATTATCAACTGTTCAAGTATAACTTCGAAAGGAGTTTGATTTTTTTTTTCCCAAGACAGATGATTGGAGATATAATAGATTCCATTGCCGTGGCAACTCAGGACAATGACAGCTAAGAGCAGGGTTACAGAGAAAAGAATCAGGTATTCTGTGTTTCCTTCATTTCATTTTGACAAAGAGCAGATGGAGAATAGGTGAATGGTTCCACAGGGGCAGTCTTCTTAAAGCCGAGATTGAACCCCACTATTTTGTATATAGGGAAGTAGAATTGAAACATAACCCCAAGAGGTACCCTCCCATTACTGAACATGTACAGGATTACAGATTCTGTGCTAAGTGCACTATGTTATACAGTTTTAAGTCAGATGCTGTTATTAATCTGTTTTATGGATGAAGAAAATGAAGGGGGAAAAGTTGAATAACTTACCTGAGGCCCTACAGCTTGTAAATGATTGGATCAATATTCATAATGTCCTTATTCATAATAATCCTACACTGGAGACATCCCAAAAGTTCATAAACAGTAAAATGGGTAGACAGGTTGTTGTGTAGTCCTGTAATAAAAGACTATGTAGTCATGAAAATAATCAAACAATAGCCACTAAGGACAGCATGGATTCATCTGACAAATACACTGAGAATCCATCCATATATATATGAAAAGCAGGCAAACTTAACCTGTGGAGTTACAAGTCAGTATGTGGCTGCCTTTGAGTGGTAACTAGGGAAATCTCAAGAGGGCTCCTGGGATTTGTTAATGCCCTACTTTTTTGATCTGCATTATAGTTAAATGGATGCTTTCACTTTGAAGCAATTCATTGACTATACACATAGGATTTCTTCATTTCCTTATGTGTGTTAAGTTTCAAAAAAAGTTTACAATTTAAAAGCAGTTGTCAGGGCTGGGATGTAGTTCAGTTGGTAGAATGCTCACCTAGCATGCACAAGGCCCTGGGTTTGATCCCCAATATGGAAGCAAGAGAATCAGGAGTTCAAGGTCATTCTTGATGGCATAGTGAGTTGGAGGCCAGCTTTAGCTATATGAGACCCCATTGCAAAGAAAGAAAAGGAAGGAATGAAGAAAGGAAGGAAGGGATGGAGGGAGGGAGGTAGGGGGGAGGAGAAAGGAGAGGAAGAAAGAAGAGAAAGCTATGTCAGTTTAGCAGCATCTCAGTTTGATTACCCACTTGTTAATAACAAACACCTGATGAACACTGCCTCTTGCTGGTAGAGGTGCTCAGTGTGTCTTTATGAAAGTTCTATCATTAATCAGATACTGAGCAAAATTGAACCAACTGAAATGAGAATAATTGTCACTGATAACGCTCGAAGACTGCAGAAGATACTGCCAGCAACAATTGAGGATTCCAAAGAGCTCTCCAAGAGTTTGGAACCACAGAGCTGTAGTTAAATTGCAAGTATGTAAGTTGCTCTTGTGGTTACAACCCTACCTGTTTTCTTGGATGACATCCTGTGTGAATCTTAAAGAGCCTTTCCTCTTTGCAAGCTATTTTACTGCCATCTTCTGGAAGAATCATTCAAGTGTAAAAGGACCAGGATGTGACTAGACTACATAGAACCGAGTGATGCACACTGCACAGCTGTGCATGTCTTCTTACGTGACAAAACTCAATGAGCCTAATTTCTGTGGAATGTACCATCACGGATCTTCACAATGCATATTTCTCACACTCAGCATTTTCTCTCTTGATTATCTTAAGAAGAACTCACAGAGTCAAATCAGAACTCAGAGCTACAGTTATAGCAAAAGGGATGGAAGTAAGGCAGGGCTCCTAGCCTGTGGGAAGACGACAGAAGGTTGGGAAGGAGATGATGACACCACCTGCTGCTGTCTTCCATTGAGTAAATGAAAAATATTCCAACTGCCTTAGCTCCTGATGGGGGCAGGGACTAATCCTCCAACTTGAAGCAGCTCTGAGTAGAGACTATGAGGGCATTGTGGGTCCGCACTGCAGCTGTTTCCCCAGTTAGGCCATCTTCACCTTTCCTTAGAAAAATCCAACCCAAACACAGGGTATGGTGGCAGGAGCCTTTAATCCCAGCCCTAGGGAGGTAGAGGCAGGTGGATCTCTGTGAGATCAAGGCCACCCTGGTTCACATTGTGACTTCCAGGTAGGCTGTGACTAGGGAGACCCTGCCAAAAAGCAATCGGCAAAAAAGCCAAAAAGAAGAAGAAGAAAAAAAAGAAAATCCAACTCAAGTCTATATTTGTAAAACTATCAGGAAATATGCTCAGAAAAAAAAAAAAAAGGAAAAAGAAAGATAATATAGATGAATCGAAAAGCAAAATAAAAACTTGTTTGCCTAGTGATGTAGCTCAGAAAAAGAAAAGTGGTATTTAAATTTTTTAATTACTTTTACTTAAATTTTGTGTGTTGAGTATACAACATGAGTGCAGTACCCACAGGGGACAGAAGAGGGTGTTGGACCTCCTGGAACTGGAGTTTAGGGACCATTGTTAGCCTCCATGTGCATGCTGGGAAGGGAACAGCCAGTGCTCTTAACTGCTGAGCCATCTCTTTAACTCCAAAGGTGGTATTTTAAAGTCTTGGCAACACAAGTGGGTTTCTTTGCTGTTGTTTTTGTTTTTTATTGTTTTTCTCCTGGGGATCTACCCATGGTCTTATGCTCTGCAGGTGCCATGAGCTAAATCTCCAGCCTTTAAGACTAACTACTTTTTAGGTCTATTTTATTTCAGTTTTTATTTATTTAATTTTATATTTTATTTATTTGGTGTTTTTGAGACAGGGTCTCCCTGTAACCTCAGTTGACCTGGAATTCTCTATATAAATCAGGCTGGCCTTAATCTCACAGAAATCTGCCTGCCTCTGCCTCCCAAGTGCTGGGATCAAAGGCTTGTGCCACCACATCCAACTTAATTAATTTGATTTATATCCTTGCAAACTTTTACATAAGATGTATACATATATAAAAACAAATTATCCATAGACTTATACCTATGCCTGTATATTTACATACATCTATAGTTACATGTACAAATATATGGACATTGTTTTTTAGAATTTGGATACTTTTCTTTCTTTTTTTTTTTTTTTTTTTAAAGATAGGGTCTCTTGTAACCAAGGCTGGTCTTTCCCACACTATGTAGCTAAAGATGATCTGAACTCCTGATCTGTATAAATGACTTTTATAAAATGGACAGAATGTGGACTAATGACTTTTAATTAACCTTGGTAAACTCACCTGTTTCTTGGGAACCTCAATCTGGTACTCCACCCAAAAAGGTAATGATCAATGAATGTGAATATACTTGAGAATTAACATATCAAAGCACTGAAAGACAGTGCACCCACCTCTTGAGAGCAGGAAGATTGAGGAATGATACTTGACATTGTATGTATGAGCTATTCTAGAATCAGGGATGAAGAGGTAAGACTGTCTGATAAGATGAGGGCAGATCCAAACATGTACTTCCCCAGTTGAAGCTGGAGAAACCATTTTGAATAAAATGATGAGTGAGGCCTGACTCAAGAGCACAGTTCCAGACAAAGTGCCAGGGACAGTTCCAGCAGCAGAGTTCCAGAGCACAGATGGTTTTAAGAGGGGGCACAAGTGTCCTCTGAGTTCAGGCCCAGTCTTAAAAACTAATTTAAGAGTCAGGCTTTTTTATTCAGGTATAGCTGTATTGTTGCCATAGTAATGCCACAATGATCCTATTGCCTCTACCTTCCAAGTGTTGAGATTACAGATATGCATCACTATGTCTAGCCTAGATACTTAATTCTAAAAGATTACAATAGTAGAAAGCAAAATGCAATGTTATATGTTTGTATATGTACACACACATACATATGCACAATCACAGTTCAACATTTAATTTTTTTTTCCAAACTCTAGATACCTAAGGACTGTAGAAGGGTGTATGCATCCAGTGGGGTCACCCCAGATCAGTTCTTTACAGAACAGTATAGTAGCATACTGTTATTGTTATTTATTTACCTTGGCAAATTCTTCAGTTATTACAATAGTATGGTTTTCAAAACTGATACCCATTAAAGTTTGTCTTTTAAAGCAATTCATTGCATGATTTTTAATGTTCAGAGTATCAAATACACACAACTACATATAAAAACATACATGCATAACATGCCTTCTTTTTCTTTTATATTTTGTTTTTCTTTTGGAAAAATTTTACCGTTTTTTATTATTAAAACATAAATATTGCTGGGTGTGGTGGTGCACACCTGGAATCCCAGCACTTGGGAGGCTGCAGCAGGAGGATCATCAGTTTAAAGCCAGCCTGGGATGCACAGTAAGTCTGAGGTTATCCTGGACTGCTTAACAAACCTCTCTGTCCAGAAAACAAACCACAAATATATTTTCATGGTACAAAAACATCATTCATTTTATATTTCTTTGTTGTAAAAAGGAAATGTTTTAAGTTCCCTTGTTGGAAAATGTTTTAAGTGATTCATTAGCTTATAATTAGATCAATTCCTGCAGTCACAACTCTCTTGTGCAACTCTCTCTATTTCAGCAGCGTCAAGTGTATTCTCATCATGAAGATAGTCCTCAATAGTTAGTGTTAGAAATCTCATACAAGTTAAGTGTAGGAGTCAATGGAGGAAATGTGTTCACATACCAGTAAGCCAGTAAGAAGGGAACCACTGTGTGCCCCCCTGCTGATGCCACGGTGACAATATGGCCATGATTATTCTTCATCATCACTGGAAGAAATGCCTTTGTAGTCTAGAAACAATTTTTATTAAAAATGATTTTTATTAAAAAAGAAAATATATATTTCTGATATATACTCATTGAGAATATTTTGAAACAAATACACACTTTAAAAAAACATTGTTCCTGATAAGAATAAAAATGTGTAAACTGCCAAGTGTAAGATAGATAGGTAGGGTGCCCACAAAAGAAAAACCAAAACAACAGATACCAAAAGCTTTGAGAACCATCTCATTTTAATCATTAACTTCTTAAATCTCCCTAACCCTCCACCTCATGTCATTGATACTCACCTATTGAATGGGGATAATTGAAAGAATTTATACTTAATATGAAATTACTAGATAATAATTTGGTTATTCTCAAAATCCAGTGAAAAGCAATCTTCCAACAGTTACTAACTGATTCACGCAGTAAACACTGAGTGCCCACTGAGTGCTGAGGTGCAGAAACAAATAAGATAATGTCCTACATTTTACCAAACATAAACACAGGAAGACACACAGCAGCAGCTTGGGGAAAACAGGATAACTGTATGCTACATTTTCACTAGCCCCAATAACCCCAAATTCACATAAAAGAAAACATGGAGGGATCTTTTATGAATTGGCTGTTTGGGAATTATCTGAAGTCTTCAGAAACACATACTAATGTCCTTGAATGAGAGGTTATCATAAAGTCTGCAAGGTTTAGGCCAAGAAATAATGGCCTGAGTTGCACAAGAATTTGAAAGCAAACTGGATTCGTCCTTAGTAGAGAAGAAGTAGAGACTGGGGTGTAGTCTCTGTTCCCTCACTTTATCTCTATACTATCACAGAGAGATGAGGAAAAGCTTAGAGTTAAAGCCAGGCATGATGGTGCATGCCTGAAAACTCAGCACTTTGAAGGCAGAGACAGGAGGCTCAGGGGTTCAGAGCTAGCCTTGAACTATATAGTGATTTCAAGACCAGCCTGGGCTACATGAGACCTTGTGACAAACAAACAAACAAACGAAAAAGCAAACACTCAAAGGACTCAAAACATACACAATATCTGAAGTTTATAATGACTTACTTTATTATTAATTCTGGATAGGGCAACTATTGGTAAAATTTGGTCACAGCACTAGAGATGAACTCCTCCTCTTTGGAATTTTCCAAAGGGGGGGAGTGGAAATATATATATTTTTTTTGGGGGGGGGGGGTTGAGACAGGCTCTCCCTGTAGCCCCAGCTGACCTGGGGCTGGCCTTGAGCTCACAGAGATCCGCCTGTTTCTGCCTCCCAGTGCTGGGACTAAAGGCGTGTGCCACCACGCCCAGCTCAAAGAGAATATTTTTGTAAAAGAAGTCATACTCACCCAAAAATGTGCAAGGATATTGACTTCAAAAGTCTTTTCAATCTGAGGGTCCTGTGTAGCAAACAAATCTGATGTATAGACAACACCAGCGTTATTTATGAGAATACTAACATCTCCAATTTCTTCCTTTACCTTAAAAAAAAAAAAAGAATATATTCATGAAGAAGTATGAATGGAGATTTGCATACAGTGGCTATTAAAGGGAGGTTATATATATACAGCCCAGTAGAATATAGATAGATAGATAGATAGATAGATAGACAGACAGAAAGAAAGATAGATTTTACTGGACATGGAAAAACTAACAATACCTTCAAATAAGAAAGATCATGGAATCTTGATGCTTAACGCTCTATTTAAAAGACTGGAGTGTCATAGTTCCAAAGCCTAGCAATGCAAGGACACCTTACATGAGAGATTTTTTTGTTTTGTTTTTTTTCTGTTTGTTTGTTTTACCTTTGAGGAGCTAAGCTTATTGTGCTGGATAGCTTTAGTGTCAACTTGACACACCTGGGTTGAGGGAGCCTCAGTTGGGGAATTGCCTCTATTGGACGGGCCTGTGGCCATGTCTGAGGGGCATCTTCTTGATGAGTGATGTGGGAGGGCCCAGCCCACTGTGGGTGGTGCCACCCCTGGGCAGGTGGGCCTGTGTTGCGTAAGAAAGCAGGCTGAGCAGGGGCCAGAGGAGCAAGCCAGTAAGCAGTGTTCCTCCATGGCCTGTGTTCTAGCTCCTGACTTCAGGTTCCTGCCCTGAGCTCCTACCTTGGGCTCCCTGATGAACTGTGACCTGGGAGATGTAAGCTGAATAAACCCTTTCCTCCCCAAGTTGGCAGTGGTCAGAGTGTTTTGTCACAGCAATGAAGAAACAAACTAGGACACTTATTGACTAGATAAACCCTAAATTCAGAGTGTCCTCTGTTATTGTATTCTAAATAAAGTTAGTGTCTACTAACACGGCAGCCATTACACAGAGATAATGCTGTGGTGTGCTGGAGACTAAGGGGAAAGTGGCAAACAGCTTATTGGAAGCTTTTACTTTATTATGCATTTAACATGATTTCATTATTGATCTCATTTAATGTTCACAATAATACTATGAGGTAATAACTCTTGTTAGCTCATTTTAAAGATGAAAAACAAGAAATAAGGGTTTAGTTTGTTACCCAAGGTCCATAGCTATTAAAGCATGGACTCTTTCCCAATCTGTTTGACCTCAAAGGCCTTGAAAAGGGACCACAAACAAAAAGGCAGATGGGGCAAAGGTCCACTGCTATCCAAAGGAGCTTCAGTGGGCCATGCCAAAGTCTCATCAGTCAGGACTGAATCACATTATAAGCTAGTAAGGTTCAAGTTAAGTTATTTGGCTCTTCATCAATAACTTCAATATCTACATCCCTAGAACAGCATGAAAATTAAGAATAATGTCCTCAAATTACTATCTATCTCATATTACTAAATAATATCCCCAAGCACCATTGGCTTTTTCTTCTCTTTAAAAAAATGTATATTTGCCAGACATGGTGGCACATGCCTTTAATCCCAGCACTCGGGAGTCAGAGGCAGGCAGATCTCTGTGAGTTCAAAGCCAGCCTTGTCTACATAGCAAGTTCCAGGCCAGCTGAGGTTATGGGGAGACCGTTTCAAAAAAAAAAGCATATTTATTTATTTAGAGCATGCGTATTTACCATTTTCCTAGTAAAACCTTATAGTTTGCATCTATACAAATAGATACTTTCTGTTTAAGTCTATTTCATTATTTAGGAACTTCATGGATTTAAGTCTGTAAATTTATGTCCAGCAATGTTAGTAATTTATAGTAGTAACAGTTCTAATGATATAGCTACAGGTTCTTTTCTTTTTTTTAACTTTTTCATTATTCTCTCAGGGATAGAATGTTGACAATTTGCATATTTCTTATTAAAAATAGCAAATTGAGAATTTAAGTTTAGATGGCATAAAATGTCCTTATACCTTAATCACCAAAATCAAAATAGCTTTGTTTTAAAAATTTATTTATTTATTTATTTATTTACTGGGGGAACACACATGCCATGGTGCATATGTGGCGATCAGAGAACAACTTGCAGGATCCATATGGGTCCTAGAGATTAAACTCAAGTTGTCAGTCTTGGTGGTAAGTGCCTTTTCCTGCTGAGTCCTCTGAGTCATCTTATCAGCCCCAAATAGTTATTTTGAAATATCTAATTGGAAATAGTTGTATGTATTTTGTTTACGTGCCTATCCATAGAACAACTGCAAGGGAAACATTATCGATAAAACACATGGAACACTCTGATCCTGATAGCACAGGACTGTAATCCCAGCAACTTGGAAGGCTGAGACAGGAGGATCGAAGGTTTCAGGCTACAGAGTGAGTTCAGTGCCAACCTGGGCAAATTAGCAAGACCTATCACCAAATAAAACATCAAAAGAGGGCTGGGGATATAGTTCTGTGGTAAAGTACTTGGTTAGCACACATGAGGCTCTACATTCAATCCTTGCGTGTATGGTGGGCAGGGGGTGGCTGGTATGTTTCGTATATTTTATTTAGAATGTTTTCATTGTAATTGCTCTGGGCTACATGCTTAAACAGCAAGGACAGATGATCAGATATTTTGAAATAGCTATTTTGATGTAGTAATTTTGATATATATATAAAATTGGGTATATGGACCAGGTTAAAACAATAAAACTAGCTTTTTCAGAATAGCCTATTTCCAGATGAATATT